CCCTGGTCCCCCGGCCTACAGAGTGTCTGCCTCTGGGAGGTGCCGTCCACACCTAGGGGGTTTGGGGGATATGACATTTAGTCCAGGGGTCAGGCTGCACTTCTTGTTTGTCCTGTGCTCTGTGCAGGGTTGGTACAGGACTGGGCCTCAAGGCTGGCACCCTGGGGGCAGGGACTGATCCAGTTCAGCTTTGTCCCCAACTCCTTCCTCTTGGGCACCATCTGGTCCAAGGTCTGGCTCAAGAAGCGTCAGCCAATGCCCGCATCCCTCACTCTCCTGTGCCAGGGCTTTTCAGGCAGTGGAACAGTGTCCCCTCAGACCTGACTCCTGAGAGCAGGGTGGGGCTTCCCTCTGGCTGGGGATTAGGGTCCTGGTATAGAGCAGAGCACCCACAGCAGGCTCCTGTCCATCTGTCCACCTGCCTGTGTCTGTGTCCCTGGGAACCAGGGTTGAGATGGGAAAGGTGGTTGGAAGATGTGTAGCGGACAACTTGAACCAGGACCTCTAGCTGTAGCCATTCTGGGGAGATCCAGCCTGTGACAAGGTGCAGGAGACCGTACTGGACCTGCCGGCACTGGGGAGATGGGCCAGGAGAGAGAGAGGTTGACTCCAGCTTGGAGCTCTGTGGAGAGATTAGGGCATCGTGAGTGGCAAAGCGTCACTTGTTTCTTTGGATTGCGGGGGCAGGATTGGGATAGTCCCCTTTCTCTTTTTTCTTGATGTAGTTTTAAACAAATGTGGTAGTCAAGGTGGGATAGAAAGACAGTCTGCTGGAGGGTGTAGGCTGGGCCTCTGAAGATACAGAGGGACTCTATAGCCTTGGGGAGGGGCCCTGGAGGCTGCTGGGAAGCCCACTGGGCACTGGCGGCTGCCAGAGCCCTGCCTAAACCTTGACCTTGTAGCCGATGAGGCCACCGTCTCCCGAGTGCCAGGCACTGCTGGACACTTTAGTGGATGCTCTTAGTTAAATCTCCTAACAGTGAGGTAAAAATTATGATACCCACATTACAGATGAGAAAAGTGAGGCTCAGGGAGGTGAATTTGCTTCAGGTCATAGACTAGTAAGTGGTAGCATTGAACCCAGGTTTGTATTTTCACCCATGACTGGGAGCTGGTGTGTGTGTGTGCGTGTGTGTGCACACGTGCGGGTGTGTGTGCACGCATGGGTGTGTGTACGTGCCCGCACACATAAAAGAGTGGGGAATGAGGGGGAGAGTGCATGGGAATGTGTGCATGGATGTGTCTCAGGGATGGGCTCTGAAAGGGGAGTGGCTGGTTGGGGAGGCTCACACTCTCCAAGGCATGTGGACCCACATCTAGATGGATTTTCACACAGATGCGAGGACACGCAGACACTACTTTGCAGGCTTGGTGGTGGGCAGATGGTTCTAGAACTGGGATAGCTGCCCCCCAGGGCTAGGGCCCCCAAGAACTGCCAGGAGGAGGCCTCCAGCCCCTTGCCCAGCTGTCCAGTAGCAGGTGGGAGGATTATTTTGGTCAAGAGAGAGGAAGATACCTGGGACCCCGCTCTGAGCACCCAGCATGGTGGTCCTGAACACATACCCTGGAGCCTGGTGGACCTGGGTTCAAATTCTGCCTCTTTACCTACTAGCTTTATGGCCCTGAGCAAAGCATGTCCCATCTCTGAGGCTCGATTCCCTTAGCTATAGGATGGGGAGTCATGCTCTCCACTCCACAGGGCTTGGTTAGGATGGATCCTACCTGAGAAGCAGCTGGCAGAGTGTTTTTACTCACCAGGCCATTTTTATTAGTTCACTTATTTGCCAAAACCGCTTTTGGCCCTGTCCCTCCTGGGACCACAGACTGGACACAGACAGTGCAGAGACGGGTAGGGCAGGGACCCGCCTTGGGTCACTGAGCTACTGGGCCTTCGCCCTTGTTGTTTTGGGATCATGGTGCCCACCTTTTCTGACTCTCAAGACCGTGTGGCCTTTAGCACACCTGACCTTGCCCCGCACCCCACCCCTCAGGAGACTCCCTGACCCTCTTGGGGGCATCTGTGTTCCCTCTTCCTGAAGTGTGTGGGTGATAGACTCTGGGTGGGGGTTGGCACCTTAAAAGCCACCTGTTCCGAGCTCCCATCCAGGACAGGCCACACTTCTGGCTCCATTTCCCGTCCCGTCTCCGCTTCTGCCTGTCTCCCCCTCGATCACGGCCTCCAGCCACGTGGCTTTCTTCCTGCCCCTGGCATGTGCCAAGCTCACGTGCAAAGTCGCCCCGCAGTCCCTCCTCCCCGGAGGCTCTCACCCGCGCCCCTGCCTGTGCAGCCCGCACGTGCGTGTGCAGGAGCTCGCGTGCACGTGCACACCAGCACTCGGCACACCTGGCTCCTCACCATTCAAGCCTCCGCTCCTCTGACACCTCGGAAAGGTCTTCCCATACCCTTCCCGAGATATTCTGTCCAGCGCGTTTTTCTTTTTTAGAAATGTGACCTTTGCCGTTTGCTAGCAAATCTGCAAGCTGGAGGAAGAGCTGGAGGGAGTGTCTCCCACTCAGGCCAGGGGACGGCTGCTCCCCAGCAGTATCTGTTTGTCCAGGTTCTTTTTTATATAAGGGCAGAGAGCTGAGCTACCCCCCTGCCCCCACTTTTCCAGAGATTGTTTCGGGCAGTCCCTGCCTGAGAGGAGGGAGAGACTGGTAGCACATTTAAAGAGACTTATAGTATATGTTTAAAAACCAGTTCATTTTTGCTTAGAGCGTTGGCCCTCGAACGGAAAGGTAGCAGGTTTGATTCTCGGCCTGGGGCTCATGTGGGAAGCAACCAATCGACGTGTCTCTCTCACATCGATATTTCCCTCCCTCTCTCTCTCTCCTTCCTTCCATCCTGCCTGCCCTCCTATTCTTTCTTAAAAACAAAATCCATGGAAAAAAAATATCCTTGGGTAAGGATTAACAAAAATAAAATAAAAATAAAAAATAAAAACCAGTGCATTTTGAAAACGAGGGTAATAGTAAACAAGATAAAATATGCCTTTGCAAAGAAATTCACTTATAGATTTTGGCCACAAAGGAGAGTCAACAGTCAGGTGAAGGGTCATCTGAAAGGAGAGACACAGTGTTAGTTCAGCATTTGTAACCCAAATAGGTGACACAGTTCTTTTGATGACTGGGGCCGGTTCCCTCAGCCTTCTCACTAGGTGGATGTACAGACCCGTGGATGCCTACCCTTTAGGCTTGAGGCCGGAGGACATGGTTGGGATAGGAAGGGAGAGGTTTTATTTTCTTCATAGCACCTTCTGCTGCTGAAATTATCCTTGGTGTGTGCTTCTCCAGGTCTGTCTCCCTCAGCCCCCTGCAGAACGTAAGCTTTGTGAGGGCCCCGCTTTGTCCCTAATGTTCCCCAAACCTGACACAGTGCCTGCGTGATGGCAGATCCCTTTGACACCCTAAACCCTTCCCTCTCTGCCCACCTCTAGCTGGGAAACCATCTCCCTCAAATGGAGCTGAACTGGCCTCCCTGCAGCCCTCCCATCTGCCCAGTTCTCCCTGATGGGACTCCTTTGATGGCCAGCACAGCCATCAATGGTGGCCTGAAGGGATGGATGCGGTGGGGGTGGTGAGGGAGGGACAGGTTCTAGAGCTTTCCTCCTTTCTTCAGGCTCTATCTAGCACATGCTATTTGTGAGGGGGACGTTGGCAAGAATGTCCTTGTCTTTGTTCTTGAGTGGAGTGTATGCTGTGCAGGCATGAGGGCCACCATATCCAGGAACTTCTCCCTGAACCCTCACTCTTCAAACTCAGGAACCAAATAGACTCAGATAAATCTTCAGATGAACTCATCACTGCTTAAATTCTTGCTGCTCACCACCCAAAACTCAGGAACCAAATAGGCGAGGATAAATGCTACTGTCTTGACCATCCAAATTCTTGCCTCTTAGGAATGGAATAGATTTGGACAGCAAGGGATATTTGTATATTAATAAAGAATGTGTGATAGTTTTTATACCTTTAGTATCTGTTGATTGAGAAAACATATAAAATTAATGTAAATTCAGAAAGAATTTACATTTAAGCGATAGTATTTTTTGAGTCACAGAAATCTCTACATACATTTGATTTCTATCTAACACTTCTTTTTACTTTGTTGATTTTTTTTGGGTGCTATTATAAATGGTATTGGCTTTTAAGTTTCAAATTCCAGTTGTTCATTTTGGATATAGGAGTGCAACTGACTTTTGTGTATCGATCTTATATCTTGGGATCTTGCTATACTCAATTATTAGCTTTAGTGGGGCTTTTAAATAGATTTTGTAGAGTTTTTATTTTCTATATAGACAATCATGCCATCTGAGAATAAAGGCAGTTTTTTCATTTTAATATGTATACTTTTTATTTCTTTTTCTTGTCTTATTGCACTAGCTAGAACTTCTTCCACAATCGTTTGGTAAATAGTCCCATATCCACATTAGAACTACTCAGTTATGTTGCCTCTGGATTCTCAAACTCCCTTACAGCAAACCCAAGGTCCAGGGGTAGAAAATTGCTGACTAGCCTGTCAAGCTGTCCACACTGGTGACTGGGAATCAAAAGCTTAGATGATCCTCACAGGGAGTGGGGGGCAGACCCAGCTTTGCACCCAGAGGTGACCCCTGGTCAGTGTTCCCTGTGGCTTCTGCCTTTTCTGTGTCTCCAAACATGCTTTTGCCTGGCTCCAAACCATGGAGTTCATGCTGGGTGTGTTTTGGGCAGCTTGTGGTGGGTGGGGCAGGAGGGACAGGCAGGAGAGCTATGTCCCTGGCCTGACCTGGGCTGGCCTCTTGCTTCAGGAACAGTTTATGTTCTGAAATCTGGACTCAGGGAACAGTGCTGGCATGCTGCAGGGTGACAGGGTGTGGTGAGCAGAAGCTGCAGTAGGTTCTCCAAGGACTTCAAAATAATGTGGACTGTAACTGTGGTGAGGGGGAATGCCCACTTCTCACTTGTTTATTGTGCCAGATGGGCTCCTCAAACATCAGTCAGAGTTGAAAAGTTTCAAGGAACATTCTCTGTTAAGGTTTTCATTGTACATACAGGGAAACTGAGACAAGGGCTTTGCTGATACAGGAACCCAGATCTCTCTGGAGACAGGACATATGTGCTTGGTGGCCAGGGCTGAAGTCCCAGAGAAGATACACCCTATGTGCCTGGTGGTTTTACTGTTTTCTATTTTGAGATGCACCAATTATAAGATACCCCAAGAAATAACAAACAATGCCAATTAAATTGCGACATACCATCATGTAAGATGCACCCCAATTTTAAAGATGTTAAAGTATGAAAAAATGTGCATCTTAGAACTGATGAGATGAATTTATAAAATCCATAATCATATAAAATTACATGTGCAGTGTAAAAACTGAGTTTTCCCTGGCTCTTCTCATTAAATTCTACTCAGTAGCGATAATCTCTATTGACATTTTGGTGCATGTCCTCCAGACATTTTAATGCATCTATAAGTATATTTATACAGTAATTATTGTTGTGAACACTTGCAATATGCTAGGCCTTGTGTTAAGCACTTTGGTGCATTTTATTTAATCTTTACAACAGGCTCATGAGGCAGGTATGAGCTATCCTCACTTTACAGCTAAGGAAACTGAGGCACAGGGAGGTGAAGGGACTTACTCAACATCACACAGTTTCTACAAGGCAAGGCCTGAGCTTGAATCCAGGCCTCTTCAACCTCAGAGCCTGAGCTCTTAGCTAACATGCTGCATATGTCCTCAGTGTGCAGATATGAGTATGTCTGGATGGGGTCAAAAGGTACATACTGTTTTGGGATCCACCTGCAATTTTTCCCCCTAACCATACTCCATGGGCATCTTTCCATGCCAATACCTAAGGAGCTACTTTATTTTTCTAACAATTGCAAAGAATTCTCTCATGACTGTATTTGAACGTACATCCAGTTCTCTACAGCATTTCTTTCAGTTTTCTGGTATTACCAGAACACTGAGATGATCAGCTTCCACCTTTGTGTCCCTCTCTGATGATTTCCTCAGGAAAATTACCAGGCTGATTTTCATCTAACAAGTTTAGGGTTTCAATTTTTACAATTAGATCTTAATCCATCTGCAATCCCCAATATTTCATGTGTCAAGAGAGCAAGCAGAGAGGCTCATGGATGTGCTGGGCACCAGCTGGTTCCATGCGAGTCCCAAAGTGCCTCATGGAGAGAGCTCAGAGAATGGGGGAGGGGAGAGAGGCTCCCGCCTTCAGCTCTGTCTCTGGCTTTCTTCCCTGGCCCAGGGCAGGAGGTGGGTTGGGGCAGGGATCAGGGAAGGGGCCACATTCTCTGTGTGCCCTTGCACCTCCTTGCTCCAGAGAACGCCTCAGTCCAGGAAAGGGAAAGACCTGTGAGGAGCAGAGACAGGGCTCACGCTCAGGCCCCTCTCTTTTAGTGCGGGGTTTTTATCTACCAGAGGCTGTGGCCCTGGCTGGGCCTGCACAAGTGGCGGGTAGTGGACTGTACTAGTTAGTACTCATCAGGATGCCTGCCTCTCCCTCCTCCACCCTTGTGACGTTGGGCATGGCCACGGGACTCGCTTCAGCCAGTGAAAGGTGCACAGCAGTGGTCACCTGTGGGAAGGAGCATTCATGCCTGGCCATGCATTTATTTTCTGGGCCCTTCTCTCCAGCTTCAGCAGACTGAAGTCTCATTCTGAGATGATGATATCATAAGGTGACTGCCATGAACAGAGTCCCCTTCCAACCTATGTGTGAATGAGAAGGGAACCGGTGTTGTCTTAAGCAGCTGAGATCACTTGTTAACACAGGAAAACTTATCTTATGCTTACTGATACATGTGTCACCTTGGCCATGTCTCCTAACTGCCTCTGGACTCGGTCTTAGCACATGATAAATGGGCACACTTGTTGCAGCCCCACTGCGCTATCTCGTAAAGGCATGGGGCTGAAATGAAGCCACAGTTGTGGGAGGGCTCCTTGAGGGCACCAGGAGGGAGAGGGCAGGGACATGCAGGACACCAACTGACCCTTGGTCCAGGGGCCATCCTGGTTTACCTCCTTCATGCTGGGACACGGTCTCTGGCTTGGTTAACAGGTGTGTTCCCTTTTACAGGTGGCCCTACCCCGGGCGGCGGTGCCCCCTGGCACTTTCAAAATGTCCTCAGTGACTCAGTGGAGAGCTCGGATGATGAATTCTTTGATGCGAGAGGTGAGTGAACCCCATCCTCCCATCATTGGCTGGCTGATCTTTCTGGAAGCCCCAAGAAGGAATCTCTGTTGGGGGTTAGCATCTCTCCCCACTCAGACCCTGCAGTCCCACCCTTCATACTTTCCCAGCCAGGGCTTCCCGGGGCCTGGGGCTCAGCATTCACTCACTCGCTCTTTGAGGTGCTTGCTGAGTCCCTCGTGGATTGCAGGAGCTGTGTGCGGTGCTCACGATACTGCAGTAAACTGATAGAGGTGGTCACCGCCCTCACCAAGCTTACAGTCTAGTGGGAGGGACAAACACTAAACACTTACGCAAGGGGAAATGCCACTGAGTAAGAGGGACCAGCTGTTAATGCAAAGAGTGACGCTGGGCACCTAAGTTAGCGAGGGCCTGGAGGTCATTCACATCCTCTCTGCAGAGCTGAGGGAAGGAGGGGGCTAGGTGAGGAGCTGGACCAAGGGCCTCCTGGACAGGGAATGGTAGGTGTGATGACCCTGAAGCAGGACAGATGGGGGCTTCCAGGAGCTGAAGGGGGCCGCGTGGCAGGGAGGCAGGGAACAAGGGGGGAGGGGAGAAAGGAGGCTGCCTGTGGTCCAGTGAGTGACTTGTGAGATTAGCCCGTGGATGGGAGGGGAACTGCGATGGAGGTAGGGACCGGTGAGAAAGACTGTTGCAGCCACTCAGATGAGAGACGATGGTGGGGACACCAGCTCTGTGGCCAGGAGCTGACTGTGCGGCTAGCTCACAGGACAGCAAGGGGCTGGGTGAACATGAGGCCTTGTAAACGCTGGCTAAGAGGGCACCGAGTGGGGCGGGCGCTTCAGGCAGGGCCATCGGCCTGAGCAAAGGCTCAGAGGCGACAACGTGCAGGGCAGGCGTGAGGACCAGTGGGAGGCAGGGCCTGTCTGGAGCTCAGGAGGGAGGACCCTCCCAGCTGTGCTCACTTGCTCTGTGCCGGAGCTGGCGGAAAGAACAGGGCCTCCTCTCTGACCCAGGAGGGTCCCCAGTTCTCACTTGGCTGGGTTGGTCCCACTCTGGGAAGTCACCATATTTGGGGGGCTAACTTCCTTCTAAGACAGAGCCAACTTCGAAATGCCTGGCAAAATGGGGTCTTAAAAGAGAAAAGACTGTGCTGGGGAGACATCTGGACCCAGAGCAGCACACCTGGGGTGGGGGTGGGTGGACATGGGCTCATCCGTGCCACTGACTTGTTTGTGATCTTGGGCAAGTCTTTTACATTCTCTGGGCCTCAGTTTCCCTATTAGCTCTGTGCCTCCGGACATGAAGAATACCCTTTAGGTGATTTTCGGGAAGCACAGCTGGGTGGTCGGATGCTGTCTGGCTCCAGCCTCTCTCATTCTGGGCTCTGGGCAGGGAACCCCTCCCTGATGCCAACCCCAATCCAGCCCATTTGGGGCTCATTTCCCGTTTCCCATTGGAATGGCTGCCAGGGCCGAGTTCCTCCATAGCAACTAAGCCACAGAGTGACAACAATGGCTTCAATATTTTGATGCTTCGAGCACATTTATTTAAAATATTTTGCAGCTCTTCGGGGCTCTGCATTCCCAGATGACAATGGAGCTTGCTGCGGGAGGCGTGTGGGCGGCGGGTCAGCTCCATCTCTATCCCTCGGGGCCCTGCTCACCTGCTTTCCCTGCAGGCAGCTGTGGACACGTCTGCTCTCCTCCCCGCTGACCGCTGCCTCCTTCAGCTCTCTCTCCCTCTCATGATCTCACCACTCAGCCTGTGGTTCCGAAACTGGCCTCATCTCTCACTCCTCTCTCATTGGAGGCCCCACCATCCCATCTCTTCCTTCCCTTCATCTCATCTCTTACCCTCTCCCCACCCCCATCTTTTCTTCCTGTCACTGTCCCAGGATTCCAGACTCTCCTGTCTCTTTCCAGGACTTCCACCTCTGGGCGCTCCCTACCAGCCTCGTGTCTGCTCCCTCCTCCCACCTCACCGTTTCCAAAGCATCCTTAGCCCTGGGCCACAGGAGCTGCTCCACAGGCTGCAGGAATCCTCTTTAGGTCAGAGTTGCCAGCTCCTGACCTCCTTCCTGTCTGTTCCAGTGGCCTCCCTGGATGAGGCCTTTGCATGTTTCCTTGGCTCAAGGCAGTAAGAGGTGAAGCCATCCTCCGACTCTGCTCCCAGGAGCTGGTCCAGGCCCCGCCCAACCTGCTCTCTCAGCATCCGGACCAGGCTGTGGGTGTCCAGCTTTCTGGGCATTCCTGGAAGCGCCACCTCCCTGGCCTCCTTTTTTCCAGCCAGGCTGAGCCCTGACCTTGACCTGGAGGGTGGTCTCTGTCCCCACCTGAGCAGGGCCCTGCATCTTGCTGCCTCTGTGGTTCCGACTCCAGCCGTGGTGGAGCTACCCTGGCAGATGTCAGCACGAAACAGGTCCCTGGGACACTGTGTCCTCCTCAGTGCACTGATGGGGAAACTGAGACCAGACAGTGGAAGGGACCTCCAAGATCACACATCAGGGTGGGGATGAAGGCGCTGGAACCCAGGAGTTGAATGGCCAGGTCAGGCCTTTTTCTTTGACTTATTACTGATATATGGGCTTTTTCCCTTCTTTCCTCCTTAAGCTCCAGCCCATTGGCTCAGCCCCGGTTTACCCAGTGGGATGAGACAGCCCCATGGCTCATGGCCTAGTAGCAGAGGGGAGATTCTTAGGCTCTGGGGGCTCTGGTTGCATATGTAGGCATAGGAGGGACTGGGGTTAGTCAGGCAGGAGTATGGAGATGTCTGCATCTATAACAACCCCTGGGCAGCATGCCAGCTCCTTAGGCCAAGGCAGCAGGCCTGAGGCCTCAGGGGTGGCTGATGTCCCTGACTGGATGCTGCAGGGTGGGTGATGGAGTCCAGGCTCCAGACCCAGAAGAGCTGCCACCCTGTCTCCTGTCCATACATTGAAAGGATACCTGGGGAGCCATGGCCTGGTCCACCACAGTTGGAGGGCAGAGTGAGGGGATGTACCTCAAATCCAGACCATGTCAGAGCTGGGGGCTCCTCAGGCTCTTGAGTTCAATGCTCCATCCCATTATAGGCTGGGAAACAGGCCAGAGAATTGGGAAACTTTCTCAGAGTCACACAGAGTCAGAGAGAACAGGGGCTAGAATTCAGACTCATTCATTCACTCTTTTAAGTGTCAGTTACTGGGTTTCTCTGCCCATCAAGCACCAGGCAGTAGTCCAGGTGTTGGGGATACAGGAGCAAGTAGATCCTATCCCAGCCACCACGGAGCCTGGGTGGTGGGTGGTGAGACAATATACAAGCATGTAAATTATATTGACAATTACCAAAAATAAAATAACATAAAGGAACAGACCCCTCACCAAAGAAAATCCATGAATGACAAAAAAATTAAAATATGCTCAACATCATTAGTCATTAAATGCAATTAAAACCACAATGAGATACCACTACACACCTATCAGAACAGCTCATTAAAACAGCTGATCAGGATATGGAGGAACTAGAACTTTCAAACTCTGCTGATGGGAATGGACAATGGCACAACCATTTTAGAAAGTGGACTGCAGCTTCTAAAAGTGTCAATCAAAGTTGACTATCTAATGAGCCTGCCCTTCCACTCCTAGGTAATTCACCCAAGAGGAATGAACACATCTGTTCACCTAGGACATGTCCATGAATGTTGATAGCAGCTTTAGTTATTATAGCCCCAAACTGAAAACAAATCAGATGTACATCAGTGGGTGAATGAATAGCCTGTGGTACGTCCATGCAATGGGACACTACTCAGCAATAAGAAGGACTGAACCACTGCTACACATACCCTCTGGGTAAATCTCAAAACAAGCAAGTTGAGTAAAAGAAGTCAGTTGGAGAAGGAGTNATCAGATGTACATCAGTGGGTGAATGAATAGCCTGTGGTACGTCCATGCAATGGGACACTACTCAGCAATAAGAAGGACTGAACCACTGCTACACATACCCTCTGGGTAAATCTCAAAACAAGCAAGTTGAGTAAAAGAAGTCAGTTGGAGAAGGAGTACATATTCCATTTACATAAAACTCTAGAAAATGCAAATGAATGTGTAGTGACAGGAGCAGCTCAGTGGTCACTTGGGGGCAGGAAGGAGGGCTAATTTTAAGGGCAGGGGAAACTTCTGAGGGCAATGGATACATAGTCACTGTCTCGATTGGGNCACATATTACATTTACATAAAACTCTAGAAAATGCAAATGAATCTGTAGTGACAGGAGCAGCTCAGTGGTCACCTGGGGGCAGGAAGGAGGGCTAATTTTAAGGGACAGGGGAAACTTCTGAGGGCAATGGATACATAGTCACTGTCTCGATTGGGGTGATGGTTTCACTGGTGTGTACATATGCCGAAACTTGTCATATTGTACATTCTATTTTTATTTTTTAAATGTGAAGATCTAATTGGCTTTACTGAACAATTCATGAATTGGGCAGCATCCCATCTAATAAATAATGGAGAGGCGCTTCTTCAGATTGAAGATTTTACATGTGTACACTTAATTGAATGTTGGTCATACCTCAGGAACACTGTTTAAAACAATGGAGGAGCTCCCTCCAGGATAACATAAGGACATGTGATAGCTCGACTCCGGGACTGTAGGAAGCCCCCAGAGGTGGCCTTGAGCTGAGAGGTGAATAACAAGAAATGTGAGTATCTGGGGGAACAGTGTTCAGACGGTGGGAACAGCCAGTTCGAAGCTTTTACCAGAGGAATGAGCAGGAAGGCGGGTGTGCCAAGAGGGAGCGAGGGGCTGCCCACTTAGTGTCCTTGGCCCACTGCCTCAGTAGGAGGCGGGAGAGTAGACCAGACCCAGTAGCCTCAGGATATGCTTTCTTGCCCAGGCTCAGAGGTGGCCCTGGGTGCCCCTGTCCTGAAGGAGTCAGAGTTCATGATCATGGGTGCAGGATGGACCCGTACCTTGGAAACCTGCCTGAGCCCCGAGTAACGTGCTCTCACCGTGGGTGACGCAGATACTGGGTGACAAGG